TAGAAAGCAAGCCGAGAATCTATACTGTGCTTCACTGTACTTTCATTTTATTTTATTTTACTTTATTTTTTGTCAGAGAGAGAGCACAAGCAGGGGGAGCAGCGAGCAGAGGGAGAGCAGGCTCCCCCACTGAGCAAGGAGCCCAATGTGGGGCTCGATCCCAGGACCCTCGGATCATGAGCTAAGCCAAAGGCAGACGCCTAACCGACTGAGCCACCCAGGCATCCCTATATTTTATTTTTTTAAGTAATTTCTATACTCAACATGGGGCTCAAACTCATGATCAAGAGTCCCTACTCTACAGACTGAGCCAGCCAGGTGCCCCTGTACTTTCTTTTTTTAAAACTTAATTTTATTGGGGTGCCTGGGTGGCTCAGTTGGTTAGGCGTCTGCCTTCGGCTCAGGTCATGATCCCAGGGTCCTGGGATCGAGTCCCGCATCGGGCTTCCTGCTCAGCGGGGAGCCTGCTTCTTCCTCCTGCACTCCCCCTGCTTGTGATCATGCTCTCGCTGTGTCTCTCTCTGTCAAATAAATAAATAAAATCTTTAAAAAAATTTTTATTTTATTATTTATTTATTTGCACTTTCATTTCATTTTATTTTAAAGTAGATTCCACGTTGGGGTGCCTGGGTGGCTCAGTCGTTAAGCATCTGCCTTCGGCTCAGGTCATGATCCCAGGGTCCTGGGATCGAGCCCTGCATCGGGCTCCCTGCTCAGCAGGAAGCCTGCTTCTCCCTCTCCCACTCCCCCTGCTTGTGTTCCCTCTCTCACTGTCTCTCTGTCAAATAAATAAAATCTTAAAAAAAAAAAAAAAGGAGGAATACAAATTCTGAAACTTATCTTAATGGGGTCTCAGATCTCATTTCCCAAAATAAATAGCAGAGAACTTGTCTCTGTTGGCAAAGGGATGGCCAAAGGGGGTGGGAAGCCACTAGTCAGGGTTAAGAGCTGTAAGGTTCCCACCATAAAGTCAGCATTTACAAAACTACAGAGATGCTGAGCACTGTTCTTTCTAGTTTTTTTTATTAATTAATTAATTATTTATTTATTTATTTATAGTAATCTGTACACCCAGTGGGGGCCTCAAACTCACAACCCAGAGATTAAGAGTCACACGCTCCGGGGCGCCTGGGTGGCTCAGTTGGTTGGGCGACTGCCTTCGGCTCAGGTCATGATCCTGGAGAACCGGGATCGAGTCCTGCGTCAGGCTCCCTGCTCGGCGGGGAGTCTGCTTCTCCCTCTGACCCTCCCCCCTCTCATGTGCTCTCTCTCTCTCTCTCATTCTCGCTCTCTCAAATAAATAAATAAATAAAATCTTTAAAAAATAAAAAAAAAAAGAGTCACACGCTCCAACCAAGCCAGCCAGGCACCCTGGCATTGTTCTTTCTTAATCAAAACCCTTTTTACCAGATTAGAGATTCTCCTGTTTTATCCCCTCTTACACAACTGCATTCTTTCAGGGGTGCGGCCTCAAGAATTAAGGGGAAATTTAGATTTATATTCTGATGAGGGTATTCCCTATCTGTCATCTATGGGAAACAAATGTCATATACAACCTTGGAAGCCAGCTCTCTGGTTGGCCTTGTCCTACCCCGAGGCAGACTGTCAACCTGATGGGCTAGGCTCTTTGATTATTCCTTCGGCTCTCTGGGACTCTCAACACTGCCATGGGGCTGTCACAGGAGCAGGTTATCATTCCAAGGGCAATGCCTCACAAGAACTCAACTGCTCACTGCCCTGGGGGCAGAAGGTTTAATAAAACTGAAACCACAGGGACCTCAAGAGTCACAGTCAGTGACCATAACCAACAGAAGCACAGTTTCCTGGATATTCTCCTTGAGTTGTAGAATAGAAAAAAAAAGGCCTTCGAAGGTTTCACTCAAATTGGGGAGCTGAACTAAAGTAGCACTGAGGTGTCCCTTCGGGCTGTTCTGCCAACCTCCCTGATTTGAACATCCCAAACCCAACCTGAAGCTTGCATTTCCAGCCTTCTTTTCTGCAGGCCAGAACTCAACAGGTAATTATGTTATTTTCTTTACTGTTACACTGGGGTCTCTCTATATAGTTCTCGTCACTATTATCATAAAATGCAAGAGCTTTCTCAGATCCCTTTCTATACCCTTTTAACTTGTCGTTGAAGTTGCTTTCTCTGGTTGACCCCTAGACAGAGCCAGGATTTCAAACAGATTGTAAAGGAACCTGAACATTTATCCTCCTTTATTCAGGGTTTCTTGAACCCATGTACAGATGTGCAAACCATGCACCTTGTCTCTCTTTTTAAATTTTTAAATTTTAAAGATTTTATTTATTTGAGAGAGACAGTGAGAAAGAGAGAGTATTGGGGTGCCTGGGTGGCTCAGTCGTTAAGCGTCTGCCTTCAGCTTAGGTCACGATCCCAGGGTCCTGGGATCGAGCCCCACGTGGGGCTCCCTACTCAGAGGAAAGCCTGCTTCGCTTCTCCCTCTCCCCCTCCCCCTGCTTGTGTTCCCTCTCTCGCTGTGTCTCTGTCAAATAAATAAATAAAATCTTAAAAAGAAAAAAAGAGAGAGTATGAGCGGGGGAAGGGGCAGAGGCAGAGGGAGAAGCAGACTTCCCACCGGGCAGGGAGCCTGATGCAGGGCTCAGTCCTATAACCTGCTCCAATGTAAGGAAACAGGTGACTTCTAGGAATTTCAACATAGTGAAGAAATTAACTGGTGAAGGGTCTCACATTTCATTACAAATCTCCCAATGAAGGAATAGGTATGGAAAAAAAGAAAACATAGTTGGGAATCCAGAAACTTGAGACCCAGTTCTAGCTCTATTACCAACCAAATGTGTGACCTTGGGCAAGTAACCTAACTGCTCTGGGCCTCAGTTCCCTTACCACACAAGAAAAGAAGTATCTTGGACTATATACGTTCTGAGGTACTCTCCAAGTTGCAGGATTCTGAAATTCAGCATATAAAACAAAAATAGTTAAATTAGGGGGTAATTATGTTATAGAAGGTGCCCTGGCTTTGCCACTAACTGACCTTGCTCTCTTTAGGCAACTCTCTTGACTTTTTAAGTGAAAGGAAGTGGTCTTGGGGCACCTGGGTGGGTGGCTCAGTTGGTTAAGCGTCTGCCTTTGGCTCAGGTCTGGGCCTGGGATCAAGCCCTGCATTGGGCTTCCAGCTCAGCAGCGAGCTTTCTCTCCCTCTCCCTCTGCCACCCCCACCCCGGTTGTGCTTGCTCTCTCTCTCTCTGTTAAAGAAATAAAATCTTTAAGAAAAATAAAGAAAAGAAGTGGTCTTTTTATTTAAGCAGTAGAGTCCTCAGACTGAAGTCACTCCTTCTCTTAGAAAAATAACTTCTGGGCGCCTGGGTGGCTCAGTTGGTTAAGCGACTGCCTTCAGCTCAGGTCATGATCCTGGAGTCCCAGGATCGAGTCCCACATTGGGCTTCCTGCTCAGCAGGGAGTCTGCTTCTCCCTCTGACCCTCCCCCCCTCATGCTCTCTCTCTCTCAAATAAATAAATAAAATCTTAAAAAAAAAAAAAACTTCTGAGGAATTCAGTTTCTTTACACGAGATGAGGGGGTGGGATAGAATGCCACAAAGACTGTTTAATTCTAGAATGCTAGGATCCATGCTGGATTTACCACAGGGGATGGATGGATGGATGGATGGATGGATTTATTTATTTATCTATTTATTTATTTATTTAGTAAGTAAGCAAGCAAGCAAGCAAGCAAGCTCTACACCCAGTATGGGGCTTGAACTCATGACCCTGAGATCAAGAGCCTCCTGAAATCAAGAGTCATATGGTCTACTGACTGAGCCAGCCATGTGCCCCACCACAGGGGATTTTATTTATTTATTTTTTAAAGATTTTATTTATTTATTTAACAGAGAGACGCAGCGAGAGAGGGAACACAAGCAGGGGGAGAGGGAGAAGCAGGCTCCCCGCAGAGCAGGGAGCCTGATGTGGGGCTCGATCCCAGGACTCTGGGATCATGACCTGAGCCGAAGGCAGACGCTTAACGACTGAGCCACCCAGGCGCCCCACCACAGGGGATTTTAAAATTAAAATTCTTGGGCGCCTGGGTGGCTCAGTTGGTTAAGCAACTGCCTTCGGTTCAGGTCATGATCCTGGAGTCCTGGGATCGAGTCCCACATCAGGCTCCCCGCTCAGCGGGGAGTCTGCTTCTCCCTCTGACCCTCTTCCCTCTCATACTCTCTATCTCTCATTCTCTCTCTCTCAAATAAATAAATAAAATCTTTAAAAAAAAAATTAAAATTCTTTAGGGGGCATCTGGGTGGCTCATTGGTTAAGTGTCTGACTCTTGGTTTCAACTCAGGTCATGATCTCATGGTCGTGGGATTAAGCCCCACATCATCTGGCTCTGTACTGAGCTTTGCATGGAGCCTGCTTAGGATTCTCTCTCTCTCCCTCTGCCCCTCCCCGCTGGCTCATGCTCTCTCTCATAAAAATAAATAAATAAAATTTTTAACGTTAAATTAAATTCTTTAGTACATTTTAATTGGTTCAATTTACAAAAGAATCCAAAGGGCACACAATTCCTCAAGAACTCATTTAACACTTGAAGTGAGGCCTATCAGGCCTAAAGGCCAGCAAGGACCTCCCACTTAGTCACCAACTGCAAGCACTATTTGTGTGGATGCCCCAAACCTCAACTTCATCGTCTACGCACAGCCCCTTTGCCAGTAGAGATGTGTAAAAGATATAGAAAACACAATCCTTGTCCTCAAACTAAGGTGTACGCTTGAGCCCAATGAGTATACAAGACATAAAACACATAAAAAGACATAAAATTGACTGAGCAATTTACCAACAAGTAAAAGTTAATAGTTACTGTCAGACATAAATATGCACAGAAGAACAGACTGATGTGGGTTAATCACAGAAAGCTTTATGCAGAAGAATCTTAAGAATCAGGTTTTCAAAAGCAGAGGGAATCCAGATAGGCTGAGAAGAGACCTGAAGCCTGGAATGGGATTCTGAATCAAGGCTCTTTACCTTCCAAGTGTTGGGGGGTAGGTTCCCTGTTCACAAGGCTCCAACCCCCTGAGGCCTCCACTCAGTGCCACTCAGGAGACGCTCCCAGTAACCCATCTTGTTGGCTATTGTCCGACTGAGTCTTCCTTCCTAGTGACAAGCTCCATCGCCAAGGGGATGGATGTGATGTCACAATCAGGAGCACTCTATTAATAGGAACAAGGAAGAAAAGGGTGAGTCAGGGGAACTACCTCCACCTGGCAGGGAGACTAGACAGACTTGGATCTGGCGGCTGGTTGGGGAGGATGAGGTGATTCCATTAAGGGCAACAGGTTTCAGGGCTAGGGCCACAGGACTGCCTTCTAAAGATCGAGATCACTGGCTAAGGAATCACATACACACACAGTCCAGGAGATTCAAACACAGCTGAGAGAGGCAGAGAAAGGAACAAGGAAAAAGGTAAAGAAGAACACCCATTTGAGGCAGAAAAAGATTCTCTTATTCAGTGCACACAACCACAAGCAATGTCAATGAGTCCAGATCTGTGGCTACACGATGCACAGATCAGTGCTAGCTTACATGCACAGTACGATGCTTTGATGTTTCCCAAAGGCTTTCACATAAATTACTGAAGTCATGTAAAAAGAATTCTAATCCTACCCTCCAACTGGAAAATATCTTCATAAGGAGAAGATACTCAAGAATTCTTGTACGAACAGGTGTGATTCTACTTCCCAAGTCAGAAAATATTCCTGAGGGGATCAGCCTTTAAAAAAAGGAGAAGAAAAAGAAGAAGAAGAAGAAGAGAAGGAGGAGGCGGCGGCGTGGGCAGTGAAATGGGAAATCACTCCCGAGTGGGCGACTGGGAAGACTAGAGGTATGATTAGGCTGACTAGACTATCATTACTAAAAGAATGGGACCAAGTAAAGGGGGACAAGGCTTCAGATGAAGGGTGCTGTGGGATCTACTGAGTACTACACAGGAGACTATTAACTATTCAAACTCGTTTCCTCCCTATCACATGGCTATCAACAGATTAAGGGCTGTGTTACAAAGCAATATGATGAGGATAATTTTTACACATAAAACTGAGACCATTTCATCTTCTGAGTCCGGTACACACGCTCATTAGTTTCCTATGCTCACCAGCCACAACACATTTAGTGTAATATTATTAAACTAACCAGAGAGATAAAGGTGCAATGTCAGACACACTTTCTCTTTGGAGGGTAGCGAGGAAGTTGTTTCTCCCTCATCCATAACACAGAGGAGAGTATAATGCTGTTTCCATTTTGACAACACCCTATTTCCCAACAGCCTGGCATATGCACCTGTATTTCATGAAATGCTTCCAGGAACCACTGTTGCTGGTTATGCTCAGTCTTCTAGTGACAAGCTCCAGACTCAGAATCTTGCCCATGCTGGGATGTTCCCTTAGCCAGAAGAAAACAGGATTTTTCAACTGAGAGGAGGACCAGGCGTCAGGAGACTTGGGTTCTGGTCCCAGCTCTGCCAACTGTAGGACTTTAAACAAGCCATGTATCTCTTCTGCAGTTTTCAATGTCTTCACCTGACAAGTAGGGAAGATACCTGCCTTTATCTATCTTATATGTTGCCCTGGAAAGTAAAAAACATAATAAATGTGCAAACATACTGAATACAGCTATGTTTCAGGTAAGATATTTGAAGTAATAAAATGCAAAATAAATTAAGAGTACTGAAGGCTAGTGAGGAAATGCTTGAAAGGAGCTTGCTCCTTTTCGATTACTAGGAACCAGGCCCAGACACAGTCAGGTGGACACAGAGAGTAGTAACATTATCACATCACTCAGATTCCCTACCACTAGTCTACCCCATTCCCATCTGGGGGAAAACTACCAACCAGCAACCCTATCAGCTTCTTGCCCTACTGTCAGACTCTAAAACCACCTGTTTAGGAAGTGGTTAAACTATCACTATCACAGCCCAGTCCCCATGAACAGTGGCTCCTTCAACAGCCACAGACGCTATTACAGAGAATGAAGTCAGTTTCTGAAGGGGGAAGATGTCTGTCAGTCCCCCGGGCAAAACACTCTCACCTCTCCCAGCTTTCTGCTCCTTCTCCAGCCCCCTCCCTCCCCATTCCCCAATTTCGCAGAGTTCTGGGTCGGGGAAGGCTTTCCGGTGTGTGAAGCCTGCGAAAAGGGCCCGGCTGCAACGCCAAGGAAGGGATGTAAGGAATGTGAGATTCCTTCAAGGAGGGGTGAGAGGGGGAGGGGGGAAAGGAATGGAGGAGGAAGACAAGGCTGCCAAAGACAAGGCACGGGAGAGGAGCCAAGCTACGGCGCTTCGAGGGCGGGGGTTCGGATTCCGCCGCCCCTGCCCAGGCTAGCCCCCAGAACGTTCCCTCCCTCCCCTCCCAGCCCGTCGTCACTGCCCATTTAAACACCACGTTGTAGCCCCAGGTCCCCTCCTCCCTGTCCTCCAGTCAGCCCAGACCCCCTCCCGCACTTAAGGCTCCCCTACTCCAACGCACCTCCCCAACAACCCACCTTCTAGCGCCCCTTTCTCACCTCCGGACCCCTCCCTATTCCTGCTCCCTTCCTCCATTTTTCATCTTTACTCCTATCTCTTCTCCTGACCTCCAATATCTTGAACCCCCGCCCCAATCCCCATGGGACATCGGCCCTCCCGTCCCACACCCTTTTTTAGGTGGGAGTCGGCGCAGGCGCAGTACGCACCGCCCTGGAAGCGGTCTGGACTCTCCGTACCCCGGCCCGGCTGGAGCTGAGGCCGCAGCGGCCACGGGATAGCTCCGGTGCCGGGTCCCAGCCTATCCTGGGAGGGGAAGGGGAAGGGGAAGGCGAGGGAAGGTTCCAACCACTCGTCGCCTTGTGAGACGGGTCCCTTGCCCCGCCCACCGCTGCTACGCAACCCGGCGGAAGCTCGTCACCAAACTCCGCCTCTTTGTTTAACTCGGATCTAGACTAGAAGCCAAGAGCGACCAACGAGGAGGGAGGACGATTACCCGGGCTTCCTCTCTACACCGGAAATCTTTATGATCCCAACTAGGACCATATAGCCATTTGGGAGGGAGAACTCTGTTCTTCCCAGCGTGAGTGTAGGGGGCGGAGCCCGAGGCCGACTCCCCGGAGGGCTAGACTTGGCTTTAGACGGGGGTAGGAGTCCCGACTCCTAAGGTTGATGCAGCGAAGTGCGAGATCATTGCGAGGAGGCTGGCCTGCAGTGTGACCTGCCATCTCCTGTTTCCAGAGCGGTGGTCAGCATCCCGGAGCCTCCCGACCCTATGACTCATAGTCACGGGAGTGGATACTGTAGTCTACAGGGCGGCCACTGGGTGGAAAATGGGGGAGTGTCTAGCCGCAAAGCTTTGATCTAGGGTGCCCAACGGGTAGCTCGCCTCTCTCCTAGCGGCACTCCTGCTGTACCTACGTTGGCTCTCCGGACACTCCTTCAGAGTTCCCTGAAACATCTAAGGGGAGGGGAGATAAAATGTCCCTCTTCCTACGTTATGCTTTGATTTCCTTAGGGTACAGCACCGTAATTGGGGGTGTGGGCGGGAGAGAAGCTGGGATCCGAGGAAAGTCAAGGCGGAGCCTAAAGCGCTCCGGAAGGTAAGGAAATAATCAAGACGTTACAATTATATAACCTGTTAGGCTAATCTGATATTAAATACTATTTGTTATGGATATTCGCCAAACAAATGGTTGTGGTTTGTATATATGTAACTGGTTTACACACATTACAGAGATAGAACCTTTTGTTGAGTTCCTAACAAGTCCCCAGGGGAACTAAAGGTTCGGGGCTCCTCTGTTAAATCCTCCGGGGGCGGGAGAGACCCTGGGATCTAGGGAGATAGGTTGCATTAGGAAGACTTTCACACTCTGAGAGACTAATGCAAATGCTGTCCTCTGTGCCCTGGTTCCATTCTTCCAAAAAGGGTGAGTCGGCCTCTGGTGTGAAGGCTACTTTTTCCAAAACCCTGACGAAGCTGGGTAGTGCATTAAAGATGAGGACCCCAAATCAGGAATAAAGATAAGGGTTATAGCAGTGGGAAAAGAAGAAACTGTGCCTACCGCGTGCTAAGCACTGCTTTTTATATAACTTAACGTTTTCTTGTCTGCAAAAGGGAATTACATATTTAAGAACTGTCGAGAAAATAAGTGAAGTGCTGAGCGTGTTTCAGACTTTTGTCCACCGTCTTCCAAAACCCCTGGTCCTTTTTACAGTGTCGCGTCTTAGGAATGAAATCTTGGAGCCTAGGTGTAGGCTCCCAGTCAAGTAAGGAAAATTGGGCCCGAGGCGCCCCCTGGCGGTCAATCTTTCTCGCAGCGCCAACCATCGGCGGGGCTCCTTTAATACTTAAAATCCGCCCCTTTCGCGGCGCGTGAATCTTGGGTCCCGATTGGCTGAGTGGGGGCCGGCGGCGGGGCGCGTCGGGACAGTGCTGATTGGTCGGAGGAGGCCAGCCGGAAACTTCCGGGAATGTCCGCACTCCCGCGTTCCACCGGGCGCATCCGGTGGCAGCGGGGCCTGTGGCTCCCCCTGCGGGCGGCTCTGCGGCGTGCGCTGTCCGGCCCGCTGGCTGGGTGGGTGGGTGGGTGGGTGGTGGGCTGTGGGTGGGGGAGGGGATGGACCGAGTCCTGGGCTGTCCGGATGAGGGTTCGGGAAGGTTTGGCGAGTGAGATTCCATTCCTTGGATCTGCATCAGTTTCCCTACCCCCGTCTCCGTCAGCTCCCCGACTTCGGGGCTTGAGATTGAAAGAGCATCCCGGGACGGGGCCTTCCAGCCCCGAAGCAGCCTATCCAGAGACCCTCAAATTCTGATCTTGAAGTTGGAGGCTCCTGGGGAAGTTCGTTTCTAACCTTTTAGAAGAATTAGAGGATTTGCGGCTGCCTGACCCCAGCCTAGAGTGGTAGGTAGGCCTTGGGAAGTGGAGTATGGGGGCGAAGACTCCAAGCCTTGAGCCTTCATTCCCTTTTCCCCCTTCTAGTGTAGTGCCGCGGCTCGGGCAGCATGACGACGGAGACCTTCGTGAAGGATATCAAGCCCGGGCTCAAGAATCTGAACCTCATCTTCATTGTGCTGGAGACAGGTGGCTATTCTGGGAGAGTGGGCCCCCTGCGCGGCTTCTCCCGGTTGGGGGAGGGGGTCGGAGGGGGAGAAGACCACCTCCGCGCTTAACTAGCTACAGGGGTGTGAGGGCGCACCCCAAGAAACTGTTCACACCCAATCTCTCCTAGACCCTGGCCTGGAGAGTTGTGGTCGAGTGTAGGGTAGATGGAACTCATCAGATCCAAGCCTCCAGCGCCACTCGGGCCTCTTTCCACTCAGGGCCCTCTCCATGGTGCTGTCCCTTCTCCCCCCCCTCACCCCACCAGTATCTAGATCTCATCCCTCTGACCATTTCTTCCTCCCACCCGCCCCAACATTTATCTGTTCCCTCCAGGCCGAGTGACCAAGACAAAAGACGGGCACGAGGTTCGGACCTGCAAAGTGGCAGACAAAACAGGCAGCATCAATATCTCTGTCTGGGACGACGTGGGCAACCTGATCCAGCCTGGAGACATTATTCGGCTCACCAAAGGGTAATTCCTGGTTACTCCTGGTTATCCAAGGGCAGTAACCGCGAAGGAGGGTAGAGTTAAGAGTTAACAGCCCTTGTAACTCTTCTGAGTATTCTGAATCCTACTTTTTTGTGCCCCCACAGGTACGCTTCAGTGTTCAAAGGTTGTCTGACACTATACACTGGACGTGGGGGTGATCTTCAGAAGATTGGAGAGTAAGTGTCTTGGGGATGGGGATGTAGAAGCACCAGGCCAAGGGGGTAAGTTTAAGGTTTGCAAGGAGGCAGCATAAGGGTGCACAGTCTGTGTCTTGTATCTGGACCTTTCTGAGGTCTCCAGCAGTGGCCCAGAGCCTGGGTCTGAAGCTTTAGCCAATTTCTGCCCTTGCAGATTCTGTATGGTTTATTCTGAGGTTCCTAACTTCAGTGAGCCAAACCCAGAGTACAGCGCCCAGCAGGCACCCACCAAGACGGTGAGTCCCATGGCCTCGATGTGGGGAAGGAGGGCAGGTCAGGCCAAGAAGCATGGTGGGGAGCAACATCTGAGTATTTAATTTGTGCCTTCAGTTGCAGAACGACAGCAGCCCTGCGGCTCCCCAGCCTACCACCGGAACCCCTGCCGTTTCTCCAGGTACACCTGTTCCCTTCCAGCCGCTGGTTCTAAAGCTCCCCTTCTCTCCCCAGCCTGGAAACATGCATTGCCTTCATCCCAATTTCTCTTCTCTCAATGTATCCCCATCCACCCAGTTCTTCTCCCAGTTCTTTTGCAAGTCCTTGTGGGGGAAAGATTTAGGGACCTGTTTCGATCACTGATAGAGTTCTGGTATTCTTGTGCCACTACCATTCAAGGACACAAATGAGAACTGTTTCTCTGCAAAGATTGCACTCCTTCCTTCGAGCTTGTTTCTCTCTGCTGCTTCGGAGGGTCCTTGCCCTTTCAGTTCACTCCACGGTTCTGCTATGGATGTATAGGACTTAACATGGAGTCCATACTGTATAGCTTTAGAGCATCAAGTAGTTCCTTTTTAGGGTCATTATTCTTCTTGAAACTAAAGACCCTTCTTCTACACCTTGGACCTCAGGATTATGATTCTTTCATCTCCTATACTTCAGGCCCCTGCTTTTTGATCTCTTGCTTTTGATTAGAATCACTCACCAACATCATCTCCTTCATCCCCTCGCTTTTCCTTAGGAACTGGGTTTTTACTGCTCTTTTTTTCCTTTTGGGTCCTCTCCCACCTGACCCTGGTACTCCCTGGGATTTGGCTGTCTCTTGCCTCTGATCCGTGCCTTAGGTTTCTCCCTGTGATACTAGGCTCCGGGCTGCTTCTGCCCTTCCTCAGTCTGTGTCTACACCCCCAGTTGCCATGGTTTTCAGAATTGTTTGTGTCAGAACCACCAGAGTCATGGGGCTTTTTGGACACATCATGAAATAACATTTAATTCCACCAGAAAAATCAGCATCCATGTTTTCTTCTCTTTTATTTTTAATTTAAGATTTTATTTATTTATTTATTGGGGGGCAGGGGGAGAAAGCACAAGCAGGGGGAGCGGCAGGCAGAGGGAGAAGCAGGCTCCCCGCTGAGCAAGGAGCCCGATGTGGGACTCGATCCCAGGACCCCGGGATCATGACCTGAGCTGAAGGCAGACACTTAACCGACTGAGCCACCCAGGTGTCCCAACATCCATGTTTCAATGGAAAATATGACTTAGATATTTTCGGGTCTCCATAACTCTGTAATTTGTAAAAAGCATTTTAAATAAGGTACGTATAAGCCTGTTGGTCCCTTGTATTCATCTGCCAGATGTTTATTCACTTGGTTATCTGACAGGTACAAAGGCTTAACAAAAAACATGGATGGCAGGAAGACTTAACTTTCTATATACTCTCCTAACATTTTCTGTGAATCGAGGAAAAGGCATTATTTCTTCCTCTTGGCTACAGGTGTCTTAGTCTGGAGCAGCCGGGTATAAGCAGGGATGTGGTTGGAGAACCACTAGCCTATGACTTCTACACCATTTAGGGTTCATAGTGCCCTCTGCATATGAGAGGCAGGCTTCTATCTTCACTTAGCAAGCATGTCTACAGGAGGATTGCCAAGGAATAAAACACAGCACCTGCCTTTAGGAGCTGGTAGTCTATGAAGGAGATAGTCCTACATACGGTAACACTGTGGGAGTGGCAAGGTTAGTGATATGCACCGTTGTGGGCGCTCAGGGAGATCATTTCACACACCTGGCTCCCATCAAACATGTAAGCTACCCACAAAAATGTTTATTATTTGGGGGGTGTGAGTTATCATTGTTTTGCTCACTCTTACCTGGATTTTCCAAAATGAAAATGTGTGTATCATTGTGATACCCACCACCCTTTCCTTTTTTTAAGATCCTTCTTACATTTTAACACACAAATTTCGGGCCCTTCCCCTACCCATGCTTCTCCAGTTTTACAAAGACTTTTGATAAAGGGGCATTTTGTCAGAGGTCCTTGAGTAGAACTAAACAGCGAATTCTAGGTCTGATCTCTCTGATACAAAGCTCAATAAAAGAGAAAAATACCACACTAGGGCTCATGTAGCAACTTCCCAAATGATTGTTTGAGGCTTCTCTGGGGCTCCGTGCATACAACCTCCACTCCTCGCAATTGGTCCAGTTGGCAGGAATGTGCAGCTATGCTTGATGGAGACTGTGTTCCTCTCTGGGAGCGGGAGTGAGGCCTTGGGGCTGGACCTCTCTCCTACCTCAGTTCTCTAATTCCTGTGTTTCTTCCCCTTTTCCCACTGCTAGCCTCTGAGAACCAGAACGGGAATGGACTGAGTGCCCCACCAGGCCCTGGTGGTGGCCCGCATCCCCCTCACGCACCCTCGCATCCCCCCAGCACCCGAATTACCCGAAGCCAGCCCAACCACACACCTGCCGGCCCTCCGGGCCCGTCCAGCAACGCTGTCAGTAACGGCAAGGAAACCCGGAGGAACAGCAAGAGATAGCAAGACGTCCTTCCTCCCTTCCCGCCACCCACCATAGCCCCAGCATCTCCTAGGGCACACAGCCTTCTACTAGGCTGTTGGCTTTTGGGGGGGTGGGGGTGGGTAGGTAGTAGTATTTTAGCCACTAAATTTCACTGGAGGGGTGGTGAGCAGTGGCCTTATCCACCCTAAGCCCATACTCCCTGCCTTGCCCAGCTGAAGCTGCCTATCCCCTGGGATTCAAGGCCCTCTGCCCACCCTCCTTCCTCTTAGAAACAACAGTCACAGTCTGTTTCTAGTGTGTGTGATGTGGAAGTTGAATTGAATCCCTCCTTCCTAATAAACGTTAACACTCTGTACTGGACTCCTTTGCTTTTTGTGGGAAAATGAAGAGGTTAGCAGTCGGACATTTGGGAAAGTGGGCTATCCCTAGGAGGTGGAAGGAAGACAGGTTACAGGTAACCAGGCCTAAGCAAAGCAGGCCTGCCCCTTTAAGGTAGTTCCCTCCCCTGCCTCCTCCCTGCAGGTGACCCTTGCCCGCCTGCCTACCTACCCCCCCCCCCACAGCTGGAACCAAGAAGGCTGTGTCCCCCTTCCTCTGGGCGTCCTTCCAGTCTCTGGCGGTCAGGTAACGACAACCTCAACCCCCCCCGGACGATTGCCTGAATCAGACTGTGCTCCCCTGATCTTAAGCCAGGTCAGACATCTGAGGGGAGCCCAGATACTTCGTTCCTCTTTCCACCAGAGCTTCCCCTTTCTTGGCCACTGGTTCCCAGAGCTCTGGCTCTTACTCGGCTGGGACCAGGAGTTGCTAAGAACGGTTTCTTCCCCATACAGCTGGGCTTGCCACTTACCTGCCTCTTTACCCCCTTTCCAGCAGAGGGACCCCCGGATCCCACTTTCCCAGGGAATGTGGGGAATGGGGGTTGGAAATGAAGGAAGCCCAGTACCAGATGTAAGGTGGAGGGGGGGTTGGTGAGAGGATATGCAGGGAAAGGCTAAAATGGTACCAACTGGGTCAGAGGGGTGAATTATTTAGAAGAAAAGACCAGGCTCAGGTTTTCCTTGGCCATGTGGCTTTTCCAGGGGCAGAGGGTGGCCCCTCCCTACTCAGGGGCCCAGCCAAGACTGACCTTTGACCCCCACCCCAGAGACCAGTGAACCATTAACTCCTCTCTGACGTGAGCCTTCCCACACTGGCCCCTCCCCTCCCTAACCCCGCCCCAAGGCAGGTGGGCTAGGAGTTGGGGGGTGTCCATCCCAGCCTTCTATCTGACGTGGCCTCCATTCCACCTGACTGCCTGGAGGCTGAGCCCTGCTCCCCTTTCCTGACTCAGGAGCGCCTTGGCGTCCACAGTAAGACCTGCCCAGAACCTGAAGCGACAGCTCCCAGACTGCCAGTGAGGGTGAGGCCCTGTGGTCTGAGGGGAGACTGAGAGGTGGGGCAGGATTGCGGGGTGAGGTTTTGGGGACAGGTGGGCAGTCAGCTCTGGGTCAGGTGAGGGAGGCATTCCGGGTCAAGGAAGGTGGTCCAGGAACTGGCAAATAAGAGGCTGCTCCAGAAGGAGGCGAGGGGGAGGGAGAAAGGAGGCTAGAATAGGGGCTGCTGCTAGGTTCAAGGTGGGATGGTCCAGGGAATGAGAATTCCCCGGGCCTGAGCTGGACAGCAGAGCAGAAGCCCAGGCCCTTCCTCCTTGTTCTTACAGGGCACATCCTCAGGATGCTCCAAGGGGAATAGAAGCCAGAACCAGAGCCTCTATCCCATCCCCCCCCCCCCAGTAATGGGGTCCCCAGTGAGTCATCTGCTGGCTGGCTTGTGTGTGTGGATGACCTTGGGCTGGGTAGGGGGCTCAGCCCCCAACCTGGGCCCTGCTGAGCAGGAGCAGAACCATTACCTGGCCCAGCTGTTTGGCCTGTATGGGGAGAACGGGACACTGACTGCAGGGGGCCTAGCGCGGCTTCTCCACAGCCTGGGGCTAGGCCGAGTTCAGGCCCTCCGCCTGGGACACCACCACGGGCCTCCAGCTGGTCGAGCTGCAGCCCCAGCGGGAGACAATTCCACGCACAGGTACTGACCCTTCCCCCACCCCGAAAGGCCACATGCCCCACTCTTCTCAGGGCTTGCATCAGTCTCCAGTTGCCTAGCTCTGGCTTCCTAAAATCAGATTCCTGGAATTACAAATTTTTCAAAATCTGACTCCCTGTTTTCCTTCACGGCCCCCTTTGCCTCTCTGCCTTTTAATTCTCCCCTCTTCCAAATCCCTGGGCCCTTCAACTCCTTGCTCTCAGTCCCAGTGCTCAATGTCTGTAGGCTGACTTGGCTCCCAATTTGTAGCACTTTTGGCTGCGCCCCCCCAAATTCTCTCACTGTCACACTCCCCCCCCATTCCTAGACCCTCCTATAAATCGACAATTCTCAGATCCTCCTAGAACTGACATTCCACGGTTTCTGGGTCCCAGGAACTCCAGCTAGTGGCTGTTCCTTCCTTTCCCCTCAAAGCGCCCTAGGAGCCTCAAGGGGAGTGTCTTTCTTCTTTTTTAAAGATTTATTTATTTGAGAGAGAGAGCGCGCGCGCGCGCGTGAGTGAGCGGGGGGGGGGGGGGGGGGGCAGAGGGAGTCTTAAGCGGACTCCACGCTGAGCTCAGAGCCCGACTCAGGACTGGATCTCATGATCCTGAGATCATGACCTGTGCTGAAACCAAGAGTCCATTGCTTAACAGACTGCACCACCCAGGCGCCCCTCAAGGGGAGTTTCTTAAAGAACATGAGCCAGCTGACTTGCTATCCTATCCATTCCAGATCACAGGACCCCGAGCTGAGTGTGGATGTCTGGGCGGGACTGCCTTTGGGTCCCTCGGGGTGGGGTGACCCAGAGGAGCCAAAGGCCCCAGCATCACCCCATGGGCCAGCGCCCTCGGGCCTGGACCTGTTTCACAGGCTCCTGCTGCTGGACCATTCATTGGCTGACCATCTGAATGAGGATGTGAGTCTGATGATCTCTAGGTGCGGGGCAAGGACCATGGGATTTGGATGGCCTGAAATGTTTAAAGAGTAATTTATTTTTTAAAAAGATTTTATTGATTTATTAGAGAGAGAGCAGGAGCAGGGGGAGAGGGAGAAGCAGGCTTCCCGCTGAGCAGGGAGCCCGACACAGGCTCGATCCCAGGACCCTGGGATCATGCCCCGAGCTGAAGGCAGACACTTAACCGACTGAGCCACCCAGGCGCCCCTAAAGAGTAATTTAATACAGTTAATTTAAAAAACCCAGTCCAGGTGTGATCTTAGGGCATGTTATTCCAGTAGTGGAATACGGTTCCTCTGGGCTCAGCGCACATGAGCCCACCCCCAAATCTCCAAACTGGTTTAGGGACCACACTTGGCAAAGCAGAGAATCCAGAGAAACAGCCCACGGTAGGATTTAGGGCTGGCTGTCTGGAGAGGAAACCTGCAGGGAAAGGAAGGCTGTCTTCAGCCAGGAACTGGGCTTGTTCCATGTACACCAGAGGGCAGCAAAAGCTAACTCTGAAGCAGGCCTGGAGAGGGTGAGCACCCCTTCACAGGGGGCATTCAAGCCAAGGCTGGATGAACATGTGACAGGGCTGTTGCAAGGAAGGTTGGATGGCATTTCGAGTTCTTTCCCTTCTAAGATTCTGCAATGGAGGGCTCTAGTCCAACCAACTCCCTCACCAAATCGATGAAATCATCAGGGGCTTGAGAGGGAGGGAGATGGTGGCATTGTTTACTGGCCCCCAATCTGTATTGAATTGAATATCTGCACTGGATTGAATATTCACTAATAATTAACACACACTGATCATACAGAACTATCCCTAATCCCTGATGCACCTGCTGGGGCGAGCAAAGGGGACCCAGGAGAGAGACCCAGGAGTCCATGCAATGGAAGGACAGACATTAAAGATCTGAGTCACAGTTCTCAGCGATGCCCCAATGTATGACCTCCAACTCAACTCCCCTAGTGTCTGAATGGCTCCCAGCTGCTGGTCAATTTCGGCCTGAGCCCCGCTGCTCCTCTGACCCCTCATCAGTTTGCTCTGCTGTGTCCAGCCCTGCTTTATCAGATCGACAGCCGTGTCTGCATCCAGGCCGCAACCCCAGCTCCCCCAGGGGATCTTCTGTCTGGTCAGTGGGTGAGAGTGGGTGGCAGGGTGCCTTGAGTCCTGGTAGGGAGTGGGCCCTTAGCCAAACAAGGGGGTTCACTGGGGCCTCCCCTTGCGGTGTATCTCTGCCCCACCTTGCTTCCGAGGCCCTCCGGCCATCCCTAGCCTAACTTCAGTCCCTGGTTCTCCCCAGCCCTGGTTCATAGTGCCCTGGCAGTCCTGCTGCTCAGCCTCCCTTCTCCCCTCTCCCTGCTACTGCTGCGGCTCCTGGGACCACGTCTGTTGCGGCCCCTGTTGGGCTTCCTGGGGGCCCTGGCCGTGGGCACGCTTTGTGGGGACGCGCTGCTCCACCTGCTGCCACATGTACGTGAAGCCCCTTCCTCGCTCCGCCCGCCCCGCGGAGGTGGACAGCCTCCGTGTCCCCAAGGGATTCCCTCCCCCTTCCTGTCAGCCCCCACGCTGCACTCCCCAGCCCTGGCTGCAGCCCACAGCTGCCTTCTAGTAGAGAGCGAAGGAAGGCTTGCCGCCTCCCCCACAGGAGGGGGCTGTGGTCTGCGCGCGGGCTTCTGGGGTCTGCGCACGGGCTTCTGGGGTCTGCCCTGACCCCCTCTCTGGCAGGCACAAGGAGGGCAGCACGTTGGACCTAGCGGACCACCAGAGGAGGACCTGGGACCGGGACTGTCGGTACTCGGAGGTCTCTTCCTGCTCTTTGTGCTGGAGAACGTGCTAGGGCTTTTGCGGCGGCGCCGAGGGCCCAGGCCAGTGAGTGATACCCTTTTCTCCTCCTTCTGCCCAAACCAGAATTCTGGCCAAGAGCAGGGCCACACAAGCCAGGACGTGAGGCGCCCACACTCTGCTCCTGGCTCGGGGGGCTCTGCCGTTTGCCTGAGGGGGCAGGACCCGACAACTAACAGGGAGTGGGTAGGGGCTCCTCAGCATAGACCCAGGATTTCTGGCTGAAGGGCCTCCTCTCCCAAGTCCAAGTCAACAAGAAACAGGGAGGTGCCAACCCGGGAAGGGAGTGGAGAGGCCCCAAAACACCCCCAAGTGCTAGAGGTGAGCCCAGGTGTTCATTTCCCCAGCTGGGAGCCTGGCCTCTCCTTAGCCCCCGGCTCTGCTGCCTCCTCCACCAGGAGGGATACCCTCCCATTTCAGAGATGCTGCGGGCGAAAAAGAAAGGATCTCAGAGTACCGGCCCTGGACCTGGAGGATGGCAGTGGGATGGCCCTTCAGCCCCTACAAGCAGCTCCAGGTAAGCAGAGAAAATGAAGAGTAGGCTCCCCGCTCCCAGCTCTCCCCTGCAGCCGCGGCAGCCACCAGCACTGTCCTTGTCCTTCCTGCAGACCCAGAAGCTCAGGGCCGCAGGGAGCAGGCCAGCCAGTCCCCACCAGCCCCAGCCCCCACTGGGCACCAAGGCCACAGTCACGGGCACCAGGGTGGCGGTGGCGCCAACATCACGTGGATGGTCCTCCTGGGAGACGGTCTGCACAACCTCACTGATGGGCTGGCCATAGGTGCGAGGGGAGCGGAAGGAGGAAGGCAGGGCCCAGGAGAGGGCTCCCAGGAAGTGGGGGAGAGGAGGAAGCGGCGGCCGTGCCCCTGGGGAGAGGTTTCCCCCAGACTGCCGACCTCCAACCCTGCCAACCCCAGGTGCTGCGTTCTCCAATGGCTTCTCCAGTGGCCTCAGCACCACCCTAGCAGTCTTCTGCCACGAGCTACCCCATGAACTGGGTAGGAACGGCAGAAATGGGGTGGGGTGGACTCCAGAAAGGAGAGGACTGGGAGGGGGGGCGGGAGGGGCAGCCCTGGCTCATACCCCCCCACCCTGTCCTCTCTTCCACACAGGTGACTTCGCAGTGCTGCTCCAGGCAGGGCTGCCCTTCCGGCGCTTGCTGCTGCTGAGCCTGGTGTCTGGAGCCCTGGGACTAGGGGGTGCAGCCCTGGGGGTGGGGCTCAGTTTGGGCCCTGTCCCCCTCACTCCCTGGGTGTTTGGGGTCACTGCTGGGGTCTTCCTCTATGTGGCCCTTGTGGACATGGTGAGAGGTGTGGGGCGCTGCGGAGAAAAGCAAGGGAAGTGGGGAGGTGGGTTCGGCGGGGAGGGAAGTACCAGTCTCTCCACTTCCACCCCCCCCCCCCCCGGCCACCTGGAAGGGTGCTGGAGCCCAGGCCCGGGGAAGTCTGAGAAACAAGGGCCTGGAGGAGTTCGGAGGGGCTACTGGTACTTTCCGATGCCTCCCTCTTGTGCTTCAGGGCGGGGGGGCAGAGACAAGGCCAGGATCCTGACGTTCTTCCTTTCTTTCAGCTACCAGCCCTGCTTCGTCCTCCCGAGCCTCTCCCTACGCTCCATGTGCTTCTGCAGGGGCTGGGAATGCTGCTGGGGGGCAGCCTCATGCTCACCATAGCCCTGCTGGAGGAGCAGCTATGGCCCCCAGTCTCTGATGGCTGATGGGGGCCGGTGGAAAGGCGTCCAGGTTGCCCTTCCTTCCCCCCAACCACAGGAATGGAGGCGGGACACAGGGCCAGTAGGAGCAATAGGATTTTAATAAACAGAACCCATCCCAAAGCCATGACTACGACAGTTGTACTTGCACCAAAACAGCATAGAAAACCAGGATGTGGTGGGAGGAGGGCTCAAAGCAGGTGGGGGCGGGGGGAGAGGACATGAGCAGGGGCCTGGAGGGTGCAGGGTGCATCCATCTGCAGGGAGAGCATTGTGCTTTAGCCCAGGGAGGTGGGGGAAGGGTGGGGCAAATGCACTGCAAGGTCCCCACTTTTTCCTGCTGCCCTCAGCACCCTGGGGATACAGGCATCTGGGCAGATCTGCCCTTTATTGCTGCCCACCAGCATTAAACACCCCCGACCCCAACACTAGCACCACAGGTGGATCCGGGGCAGGGAGAAGGGCGGGAACGGGAAAATTGCTTAGAGAAAGATTCGACTAGAATCCAGTGAATTGTGCTCAGTTCTCTTTACTTCCTACAACCGAGTACATGGGTCACGGGGTGGAGGGTGCGACAGGACATGAAACATGCCCCTCGGTGCCCCCAACACACCCCTGCACACAGGATGGTGGTGTCTGCAGCATCACAGGTCATGCAGGGCACGGGGAAGGGGGGGTTCACACACACAGAGACGCCCACAGCGGGTACCAGAGAACACCCCTGAATATACACAGCTGTACACAGGGAACCCCCAGGTCCCCAACCCAACCCTCTCCCCTGTCTTGCCGTCCCCCAGGCCGGAGGAACTGTATTGCTTTGAGAGAGCCACCCTGGGGGCCGCTCTGCCAGGCACCCTCCCCTCCCCTCCCCTCCCCCCACCCCCATTTTGGCACATCTGCAAGACACGCGGCAGCGAGAGTAGGCACCCTCCCTCCCGGGCTCCTGTGGCTTGGAGTTGAGGAAGGGGGTAGGAGACTTTGTCCTCCATCCTGCCCCTAGCCCTTCCCAAACCCCTACCAAACCCACTCCAGCCAGAACCCACCCCCACCCCCTGAAACACACACATACAAAGCTGAGCTATCCAGGAATACAGGGGAACAAGGAGATTGTCCAGGACAGGGGCGGAGCAGTCGGGAGAAAGGACTGGAAGCAGAGGCCCCACCCTGGTGTGGGGGTAAGACTGGCACGACAGCTACTTTAGTGCAATTGGAGAGGGTGCCCAGAGTGAGGGGTGGGGGGGGAGGGGAAGGCTCGCCCCGACTTCCCCGGGCGGGGGGCAAAGCCAGGCTCCCCAGGGAAAGGGCCTAGCAGGAGCGAGCGAGGGCCAAGGGCAGACGCTCTCGTCACCCGCCACCCCCTGCCCTCCCAAATGCAGTGACAGTGTCCCCCTCACACCTACATGGGCAACAGCAGCCTCGGAGTCAGTACCTTCAAGTAATTCATAGAACAGACCCTCCCCACCCCAGCTTCCTCCCATCTCTGGGATTTGGTCGCTTCTCTAGGGTTGGGTCGGGGGAGGAGGGAGTTCCCAAGTCAGGCCCTTCCCTCCCCACCTCCCTCTTCCCAGACCACTGGGCTTGGTCCTCAAAGATTCCCTGCCTCCGCCCCTTGCCCACCTTGGGTCAAGGCCACGGAGGGCTGGAGCCACCACAATTCGAAGGGAAGGGGCTGCTTTGCTCCTTATCCCTCCTTCTTAAAAGGTAGGGTTCAAACTAGGCAGGATGGGGCCCCACACTGGTTTGCCCCAGGAGGAGGGCTTCTGGGCTAGGGTCTGTAAGGCTATTTTCCTTTGCGGTGGGAAGGGGAGGTGGGGATGAACACGGGGTGTGGGGAGAGGGGGAGAAATGGCGGAGAGGGATGGAGGAAGGGGCCTCCCTGCTGGAGCGCAGTCGCTGGAGTCATTCGGACGAAGAAACACCCCTGTGCACAAGATACAGAGTGGGCCTGCTCCCAGCCCCTCCAGCCAGGCCCCACCCTCACCTCTTGGGGTCCCTTCAAAGACCCCAGAGGAGGTTTCGGGAGTACAGCTGCAGAACCGTTCACTCTGGCCCCACGCCCCCCACCCCACCCCCAGCCTCTCCTCCCCTTCTAGGTCCGGGGAGTAAGAAGGTGCTCGGGTGGGCAGACAGCGGTGGAAACAGTATTGAGTTTTCCTTTGGTTACATATTGAAGGCAAAGGTGAGCTGGACTTACAGTCAAAACGGATAGGGATGAGGAAGGAAGAGGGGCCATGCTGGGGTTGGAGAGGGAGGCAGGCCCTCCTCAGCCCCTCCACCCCAAGGAACACATGTCTAAGTGGGGTGGCAGTCCCTCAGTCTCATCTCTCCCACCCCCCACAGCACCAAACAGAAGGAGAAGCCCCCTCCCCCAGGGGCTGCTCCCCACCCCAACCTGGGCTGTACATTCAGTGGTTTTCAGCAGTCCTATGGCTCAGGGGGCCACAGCGGGGGAGGTGGCCCATCAGTCTCAGTTGGACAGTGGCAGTGACCCGGGTCTGTTGGCCCATCCTGGGACCCACAGTTTTGTGCCATTTGTTTTTCTGAAGGATAGTACACAACCCTACCAAAGCCACCGCCCAATCAGAAACGTCTCCCCAAAAATCAGAAACTAAAAACTGGCTCTTTTCAACTCGCCCTCTGATTCACAAGCCTGTTTCCCTGTCTCCTATGTAGCCCTCGCTCTGTCTCCTTTGCTGGGACCTGGGGCTGCTCCCAGGGTCCTCACGTAAAATAGGCCTTTTCTCAAAAGTGCTTATTACTTGAAGCAAGTGCTTTAGAGCTGCGGTGGGGAGAGGGGGAGGGAGGAGGGAGGGTGAAGGGAAGGTGTTTCCTCCCCACCCTACCCCCTGAAGTTTGGGGGGCATTCTGCCTGTTTTACTTCTCCACACCCGTTTAAGTCAAAGAGGTTTTAAAAAAAAAAAAATCTTAACATTAAAATAAATATGCAGTGGCCATGAGAATGGTCAAAACACTTCAAAAAACACTAGGGGCTGGGGAGCCCGGGGTGGGGTGTGGGATTTCCTTTGGCATAAGGAGAGGAGGCTGCTCGTCCTCCACGCCCCCTCACAGCCACACGAGGAGGGGCAGAGGACCCCCCGACCTGCCCCAGCACTGCTGACGGGGTGCTGAAGGGGCAGTGGGGGAAGAGGCAGCCACCAGAAATCTCATCTAGCAGAACAATGGGGCTCCTGACAAATACTCAGGTTCTTCCTGTCATCGCCAAACATTGATAAAGGAGAACACGACTGATACCCCGAGTCTTCTCTGGAGGACCCATCGCTCTGCTCCCCCTGCCCCCCGTCACCTAATTCCCAGCACCAAAATGAGAGGGAGGGGGTGGAATGGGAAGATTTCAGGAGAGCTGAAGTTAGGGGCAAGCTTTGCAGAACCAGCAGGGGTGGGGGCGGGGGGCTGCAGCCCTTAAGAGAGGTCACATTGATTGTCGTATAGGGGAGGGCAGGGCGTGAAGGGAGGTGGGCAAGAGGGGTGTCACAAGGCCCTTTGGCTTTGAAAACAAACCTAAAAACTAAAAGCTGCACAATCCTTCTCACCAATAATGGTCATTTGGAAGCTTTGAAATGGTTTAGGAACTGAGGGTCGGGGGAAGCAAGACACAGAGAGAGGGGATAAAGAGAGACCACGACAAAAAAAATAAGGACTTGGGCAAACACCGCAGGCTTCAGGGAACCAGCATGAGGTATGGTTAAGGGTATCTGGCAGGGAGGGAGGGGTCCCTGGGATGCCCCCCCTCCCCTCAGCCCCTCCTTGGCGAAGGCGGCAAGACTTGCAGGGGACACAACTGAAAAGTGGGTGAGGTCGTGAACAAAGCAAGCGTGGGTGGGGGAAGGAGACTGAGGGCTCCCCAGGGGGCGGGGGAACCCTGTACTGTGTAAACGAAGCCTGTCCAGTTCTCAGGGGACAATACTGATGGCAGCCAAACTGGGCAAGGATGCACTGTGGGGGTGGAGGGGGCATGACCTCTATTCAAGTTCTGTGTCTTGGCCCCTGGCTGAGGTATTGAGTGTGAGGAAAGGAACACTGGGCTATGGGAGTGGGTCCAACTGTCCAGGAGGCTTAGCTGGGAGATGGATGGACAGGGCATCGGAAGGGACCAGGGCCAAATTCAATGCTACATTTAGAGAGAAAACTGCCCCCTCCTCACTCTGGCCCAGTTTGGCTTTTGGGGATCTTCTCAGTGCAGCCCCTAGCTCAATCCCATCTCTCCCCGCGACCGGGAGGGCAGGGACCAAGCCTCAGCGTGTGTACTCATCACTCCCTAGGTCAGAGCTTCATCCTCACACTGGAGGGGAAGCTGGGGTCCCGAGTAGCCACGGTCCCTAGTCTGCCCTGCCCCTCCCACCATCTTTGGCTTCAGATCAGGAGTGACTGGGGGCAGTGGGTACTCTTGGACATAAAGGACAGTGGGGGCACAGAGGAACTATGGGTTTGGGGGGGCACAGGAGGAAGAACATGGTCCTTCCCTCCCCACACATGCAAACACATGCCTGAAACACACAGGACATACTAGGGCTGTGGTTTTGAAATGGGCAGGAAATTAATTTGTTTCTTCCCCTAAAGGATAAAATGCTTACTTAAAAATTCATGACAAGCCTCAAAGTTAAGGGAGAGGGGAGCCAGGGAGGGAAAGGCCACAGGCTCTGCCCTCCCAAAAGAAGTTAAAAGAAAGAAGCAAGGTTAAAGTGCGTGGTTAGGGGGCCAGGCCAGCAGTGGAAGGGAGTCAGGGAGGAGAGCAGGCTGTGGGGGCAGAACCAGCCCTTGATTTGCATATGAGGAGCCAGGGGAGAGTGCAGGATTGGGGCCCAGGTACAGTAGTTGCTGCTTCAAGTGTTCTGCATTTGAACTTTAGGGGTGACAGGGTACAGAAGTGGGGGAAAAGCTCCAGGCCCCAGTGCTAAATACCCTCCCCCCTCATCCACTAGCTGCCCCTGAAGGGGGAGGGGGACACCCCCAGAGTGCTCACACAGTACCAGAAATTAAGGCTTCTCACTGCTGCGGGGATGGAGGGGCCAGCCGAGCAGGGAGGCAGTGATGGGTATGGAAGAAGAGGAGGGATCTGCCTGGCAATAGGGGCAGGGGGAGGGGGACACAG